TGCCCCACTGGTCTATGAAATCCATGTAGTTTGTCTCATTATATCCAGACGACACACCTAAAGTGCCCCACTGGTCTATGAAATCAATGTATTTTGTCTCATTATATCCAGACGACACACCTAAAGTGCCCCACTGGTATATGAAATCCATATAGTTTGTCCCATTATATACAGACGACACACCTAAAGTGCCCCACTGGTCTATGAAGCCCATGTGGTTTGTCTCATTATATCCAGACGACACACCTAAAGTGCCCCACTCGTCTATGAAATCCATGTAGTTTGTCTCATTATATCCAGACGACACACCTAAAGTGCCCCACAGGTCTATGAAATCAATGTAGTTTGTCTGATTGTACACAGACGACACTCGTACCGTGCACCACTGGTGTGTGAATCCCATTTATTTTGTTATTGTGTGACACGAACCGTCCTCTTCTGGTCTATGTAGTTTGCCTCATTGTACACAGACGACGCACGTATCGTGCCCCACTGGTCAATGAAATCCATGTTTTTTGTCGCAGTGTAAACAGACGAAACAATCGTCGTACCCCACTGGTCTGAGAAATCCATGTAGTATGTCGCGTTGTACACAGACGACACAATCGTCGTGACCGAAGGTCTCTGAAATCCATGTCGTTTGTCTTATTCAACGCAGACGACACACTTCCCGAGCCCCTCTGGTGTCTGAAATCCATGTAGTTGGTCTCATTCTACAGAGACGACACACTAACTGTGCAGCACTGTTGTATGAAACCCAAAATATTAGACCCATACTTTGCTAAATTCCGCATCTTTCAACAACGTGAAATGGTCAGAAAAAATAGTAAGTAACAGTAATTTCTCAATATCAGAACAATTTCCAAAAGAAATGCAAGACAGAAGAAAAGCGTTGATGCCTACTTTCAAGAAAGCCAAGTCTCAAAACAGGAAGGCAATTTTCGCTCGAGACAAGTTGTACGACCTTCACGTGTTCGAAGGACCTTAACATCAAGCTGTATGTATGTATGTATGTATGTATGTATGTATGTATGTATGTATGTATGTATGTATGTATGTATGTATGTATGTGTGTGTGTGTGTGTGTGTGTGTGTGTGTGTGTGTGCGCGTGCGTGCGTGTGTGTGTGTGCGCGTGCGTGCGTGCATATATGTATGAATGTATGAGTGTGCGTGCGTGCATGTGTGTATGTACGTGTGTGTGTGTACACAGAGAGAAAATAATCCGTCCTGCGTCGTATTACTATTTATACTATTGCAACATATAGCATGGATTAACAGACTTGAAATAAAAATATATAAGAAATAACTAATGTATGCTTAGTAAGGATGGTTCGTTTTGAGATATTTTGATTTTGTTAAGGACATAATCACTGCGGAAATATATCAGTTGTATCGTTGTATTGTAATGTTAAAGACATGTCATCGTTCAGCAAACCTTGCAGACCTAGACTCAATGTTGAAGTTGGAAAATCTGCTATGTTCACGGACGACTAATACGTGGGGTTGTGTCTGTATTCATCGTGGAAAAATACCAACCATGCAGTGGAAAATAGTTGCATATAAATATCCTTCCTTTCAGGACCAGATCATTGTGACGAGTCATTTATGAAGATAGCTTTGTGAGTGAATGCTGAGTGAGTGTTACACAATTCTAAACATCGTTATGTGCAGCGTACAATACCAACAGAAATAGACTGAGCGTCTCGCCTCAGCTGTCCTGTAAGTTTCCGTTTTTTCCCTTTAATATACACAGGTTGAATTAGCTATGCGCAACGCTCTTAAGATGAATACATAAGCTTGTTCTCCATCATTGTCAAAGGAGAAACTACCAACCGCCCTCGTATGACAAGTATGGGGTGCTGGAGATCAATGCTAACTCGGAGCTTCTCCAACAATGTTTTATCGTCCTCAATATGATGAAGTCAAAGGAAATACAATTACACCAGTCAAAATAGTAATGTTTTCTCTAAGTGAAACGTAAGGAAATGTTCCGCCTGAACCAAATCAATATCGTTACATATTACATAAATATTAAGTCGTCATGGAACTCTCCCCGTGGGATCACGTCACCTTAATGCGTTATATTTGATTTTTCAAAGGCACATCGTTACAGCATAACAATATAATGTTTATTTCTCTAAATATATATGTTCAAGTCAACACAAATTGTGAAAAAATATGGGACATTGTGTTCAAGACTTATAGTAGATGTTATATCGGTATTCACAACAAAAAAGTAGTACAGGTCATCTGATGTTTATTAAAAATCAGCAACCAGTGTAAAATGGACATATGAAGATTTTGCATTATATACTCATCAAGTAATATTAAGACAGCGCACTTTTATCTCCATCATCGTAGTCAAACATCATCATACATTAAAACTTCAACCTCTATTGCCTAATAATATAATCTCTTACCGATTGCAGTTCAGATTCGCGGTGTCGTTTTAGGACCTGCGACGCCCAGGTCACCTAACATAAATTCAAGATGTATATGTTCTCACCATAAGAGTTACATCTAATATATAATACAATAAACTGTTATAACGCACTCAAAGGACCAATAAATTTTGTTCTTTATAATCGACCAAAACATTGTTCGTTATTGTAGTTTACTGTAGTTTATTGGATACATAGTGGAAGCCGGTTCCTCCGTAGTGTTCGTTTGTTTTGTTTGCTTAACGCCGCACTCAGCAATATTCCAGCTATATGGCGGCGGTCTGTATATAATCGAGCCCTGTGTCCGGTTACTTCAACTGTAGTTTCTGTCAGCGGCAGTTAATACAACATCCGGCAGTAAGGGACAGTCACCGGGGGACACAACAGAACATCTGGCAGTAAGGGACAGTCACCGGGGGACATGACAGAACATCTGGCAGTAAGGGACAGTCACCGGGGGACACAACAGAACATCTGGCAGGAGGGACAGTCACCGGGGGGACACAACAGAACATCTGGCAGTAAGGGACAGTCACCGGGGGACACAACAGAACATCTGGCAGGAGGGACAGTCACCGGGGGGACACAACAGAACATCTGGCAGTCACAGACACGGTCACATCCTTTAACACAGTCATAGGGGAAGTCCTGTCTACAGTCACATTGTTGAATTGTCCATCTGAACACAACAGAACATCTCGCAGTCAGAGACACAGTCACATCCTTTAACACAGCCACAGGGGAGGCTTAGTCTAAAGTCACATTGTTGATGTCCATCTGAAACACAACAGAACATCTGGCATTCAGACACACAGTCAAATCCTCACTGCCCCGGTTTCCCCACTAGTTTTAGTTGTAAATGTGATATTCTAGTTGTTTTACTGTCCTTTGTCGACAGGTTTTTATAATATACATCGATTCCATTTCAATATCACATATGTTCTGGTCACGATATGGCTGAAATATTGCCGATGTGACGTTAAATAATAACTAAATCACTCACTCACTCACTGGCCCCGAGGAGGCCTTGTCTCCAGTCACATTGTTGAATTGTCCATCTGAAACACATTATGGCAGTAAGAGACAGTCCCATCCTCTATCACAATTACAGAGAATGCCTTGTCACAAAATACCTCGATGCCAGAATATTTTTGTTTCGTTGAAATAATACATTGAAATATATATTATCTTATCACTTCAGCAAATGTGATGGTTGAGTATTGGGTATATTTACGGTCAATATTTAAAGAATATTTCTGAACAGATGATTTCTTTATCCTGCAAAAGACGCATGGTAGTCTTTATCTCACATATAACACAACATCAGGGAAACTAGTGACAATACATCTCAACAGAGACACCTCTATAGGCGAAACAATTAAGTATCGGACTTAGATGAGTGAGTGAGTGGGTGAGTTAAAATTGACGTCACCTCGGCAATAATTGAGCCATATAGTGACAGGAAAGGTTCTACATAAACAATAAATTGAGCTGTTAAGCAGCCAGTCATCGAAGGACTGTAAACTAACTAGAGTATCACAGATGGTGTTAAAACTGGCATGTGAATCTAAAACTAATTTATTTACGAAGACAATACAATATAAAAACAGGCTATATGTCGCAGACAACTGAAGATAGACCAACATACTAGTATCAAACTTAAAGACCACCAGGCTTTCAAGAAACCATCTGACATGAAATGAGCCACCTCGGAACACTTTATGACGAATCCCTGTCAACACATTAAGTGGGGCTCATCCTAAATCCTTATTTGCAACCAAAACAAGTGGAAGTTCCAAGAAGCCACAGAATTACAAAACACCATCCCGTCATGAATAGTGACCAGGGTATTCAAGTGCTTGGGGCTCACTGTGATCAGCATCCTGATCATCGATCTACACAATGGGGACACGTTGACATGTGTCAACAAAGTCAACTAATCTGACCACTCGATCCCGTTAGTCGCTTCTCACGACATTGCTGAAGCATATGGGGAGATATAAATAACAAGAGTAAATAACGTTCTTACCTATAGCAGATGGTAGAAATGCAAGTGTCATTAAAAGTTGCTCGATACTTTTTCCTTCCATGACTCCACTCACGATTCTTAAAACTTGAAATAAAGCCCAGTACATGAGCTGGTGTGTTGTTACTGACCTTTGTGTTTGTATCTACTTTCGTTTCCCTAAACCATGACATTGAGTTCTACTTACGAAACGTGCAAGCATATCAGCTGCCAGACACCAGAGACGAATAACACCGATATCATGTGTCATATGACAAATCGTATGTACAATATACCGACTTCACAAAAACTCAGTTCTCAACGGTTGTTTTGAAAAAGAAGGTTCATTGTTGCGAAACTCAAAAAGACTGATCTATATATAGCTGGATCCGAAATAAATACCTGACCCACTTTAAGATTGTGCAAACCTTTGTGTAAGACGTTTTAGTTTATATTCAAACTACACTGTGTTCTTTCGCAACCATTACTTTTCATTGCGCAATTCGTCATAGAAATGCATATACAATAAAGAGACCTGAGTAACTCTTTCACTATCCTGTCCACGTTCACGGATATCATACACAAAGTGGCTGGTCTGGAATAAGGACCTTCTTTCCTTGGTGTTTTCTATCGACCTTTCATTCCCTAAACATGAAGGTATGTACCGTCCTTACTCAAATCGTTGAGTCCACTATAGGTCATGACCACATTCATTCTCAACAGCCAGAATATGAAGACATATACAGCATTGGCATCATTACTGAAGTTAGAAATGTTATCCCCCTCTGATAGAGTAGGTGACTGATGCGACATTTGTTTGAGTGACATTCTAAATGTTGGTTGTATAGATATGACTGAAAACGGTGTAACAATCTATACCGAAACGTCGCATTTGTGAAAATAATGAAATTGATCATCCATAAAGTTTGTCATCTCCGATGCGATATTGCAACCTATTAACACAATCATGATAGTAATTTCGGATATGAGACCCATTGGAAGAGTCCAGTTATCATGATCGTTTACAAATCGAAATTCATGATTTTTATTCATCTATTAAGAATGTGGCTAAATATAGTATGACCAGAAATTATTGAGAATTTTAGGAATATGTTTAATTGGATTTCTAGTATAAACAACCTTGACCAGCTATCAAGTGCTTGGTTTCATTCAAGAGAGACAACTCCGTTTATCCTTTTTCATTAGTTTGTGAAGAGTTAGCCCCCTTTGTTTACTTGCTAGCAGACGACATTTTCAGTGATCCTCAGTATGGATGATTTAGAGAAGAGGAAGTTGATTTAAGAGTATTATAACAAGGACATCAGATCAGCTAAAGTGATTTCAAAGTAGAACAGGCATCCATTTGTCCACTGTTTATCGTGTTTTGAAAATATTGCAAATGGATATGGCATTGAGCACTAGGGAGGCGCAGGTAGGCCCAGAAAATTGACTGTCGGTGACAGGAAGCGCCTTGGTATTCTTGTTTCTAAAAACGAACGAAGGAGTTAAGAAACCTTAAGGCTGGATATGATTGATAGAGGAACTGTGGCTGTCTGTAAGGAGACAATTAGAACTGAGCTGCATGCAATGGGTTGGCAGAAAAGTCGAGGAATTCCATCACCGATCATGAAACCTGAACAAAAGGAGCGAAGGTTGAACTGGTGCTTACAGCATAGCAAATTTAACTGGGACAATGTGATTTTTTCAGATGAAAGTTCTGTGTAGCTGTTTCCTAATACACTGAAATTCTGGACCAAACAAACTGAAAACCTTTGTATCAGCGCCCAAAGCACAGTCCGAAATTTAACGTGTGGGGTGGCATATCTGTGTTAGGGGCAACAACCCTCTGTGTATTTGAAGGGAATATGAAGAGTGAGTGGTACACAGATATTCTCGAGGAACATTTACTTCCATCACGTGTCCCATGGACATTTTTGGATTTTCCAGCAGGACAACGACCCAAAACACCGTTCAAAGCATTCACAGGCCTGGTTTCGGACCCAAAATATGAGATTATTAGATTGAACAAGCTATAGCCCTGACCTAAATCCAATAGAAAATGTTTGGGGACTTATGAAGGAAAGTGTCAATAAGAAATATCTGACAAATATTGCTGAAATGAAAGAAGAGGTGGTCCGATATTGGGACAGCATGAACCACGACTTTCTAACTTCTTTGATCAGTAGTATGCCCCGCTGCATTCAAGCCTGCATTGCTGCCCATGGTGACTTGACAAAATACTAACCGTTCACCTGTCTTTGAATCTGGAGTATACGTGAAAAATGTGTGAATAATGCGTGAATTCTTAAAAAAAAATTACAATCTTTAAATTTTCAATAATCTGGCTGTACTGTGTAACATGGTCAAATATAAAGAAATAATTTTAGAATGCCGCGGTAGCAGATAAAAGGTAGCAGCTAGCGAAATTCGTCTAAACGCCTTTAAACCGGCTGTCACCATCTTATGAATGCATGGTATTTCACCTAAACAGGGCAGCATGTGGATAAAAAATGACATTTGAATATTTGCAAATATGACATTATGTTCAAATGAGAAGGATCTGCAAAATCATATTAACTGGGGAAACAATATAGTTATAAGGGTTTCCGTTTGCTGTCTGCCGTGCTTGCAGTGTAATGTAAACTAAGTGCAGATTTATACAAACTTCAAATCTTTAACGGTGACTATCGTAAAATGAACAATGACATGACAGCCGTGTCTTATTCCAATGCCTCAACGCACAGTTTTTTTCAACAATTCGGGCACTAACAAAGTCATTGAACATGGACGAACTCACTAGCACCAAATATCTGAAGACAGTTTGTCAGAAATCTATATGACTTTTATAATATTATAATACCCGACAATTGTTCAGCCTTCAGAAGAATATACATTTAATCCATCTTGATGTTACTAGAAGTATTAGAGGCTTGAACAAATTTGCGTCAAAAGAAAGTTTCCAAACGGACTGGCTCCCACAGGAGGGACGAAAAATTTACAAACAACAGTACGGTAGTACAGCAAATAGTGCTTTACAAGATAAGCAACAAATCAGCTTATCATATGTTATGTTAAAGTAGTACCCGGAAGGTGTATAGCAAAATTATATACAACGCCAATGCAAGAGTTTAACCAGTCTCGGTTTTATGGCGAAATAAATGTCATTGTATGCAAACGACAAACACGACTCTAAACTCGCAACTGTTATGCCAATAATACAAGCAGCTATAATTGTTTGCAATGAATAATTGATTGCACAAGTCGTACGGTGTATGTGATAAGTTGCCGAAAGAGAGCTACATCTTTCAACTATTAAAAACTCCATCAATATTCTAGCTATGTGACTTTGGTCTGTAAACCATACATCTGGACCAGACAATCAACGGGAGTGACATCTGGAGCATCGATCTGTACAAATTGTATACGGTGACATTCGTCCACCAAGTCTGACCACCCGATCCCGTTAGTCGTCCCTTATGACAAGCATGGGTTTAAGAACAATATTTCTAGCTCGGTTTGTCGCGAGTCTCTCGTCGTCTGAATGACTGTTTTACAATTGACATTTTCACCATAAATCTATTGTCCTTTTAGCTCATAACATCTTCTGCCACACTTTACTACTTGTTGCAATGTGCTCCCATTCGTTCATCATCAAACACTTAATTAACTAATTATTTGTATCTCATGCAGTTGCGGAAAAGTATACTAATGTGTACACGAACTCCCTAACAGGCCATATTCGACTGCCTTTCGGAGATTTATTAATCTATTTTACTCAAATACATACAAAGAAACCTACTCGATGTTAATATTCAAGATAATTGTGTATGTACATGTTTATTACAGGTGGGATTAGTGATCATTCCAATGGTGTTGATGCTGTCTAAGAAAAGTCATTCAATTACAGGTAAGTATCTGTGTAAAAATCATCTATCCTGCACAGTTGCTGAATCTCAACCCTTCATATGAGTTAGTGAGTGAGTGAGTTAAATTTAAAGTCACTTTGGCAATATTTCAGCCATAACGTGACTAAAACAACATACAGATTAACTAGGGTATCAAGCTTACGAGTATTGTAATCTGACACCTTTTACAAAATACCTCACGTTTGTCTTAGCGAAGTAAAACCTGCATTCCTGATCACCGTAAGGGTGAACGTTAATATTAGCGATGTTTTGGTATGGGGTAGAATTGTAACATGTAATTGAAATCATTCATTTTTATTTGATGGAACTGGGTGATATTTAAACAGGCACTGCACTGATGCACTACATGTCATGCAAACAGAACAATGTGGACATTTCGTCACTGGCTTGCTAATTCACCATGGTATTCCTGTAATTGAGACATATCTCTGACACAATAACAACACGCCCACCAGTGAATGGTGACACTGCTGATTCCTCAGCATTATTTCATGGTACTGTCACCTCCAATGAACAGAATGTCTTTGTCTTTCACGTTAACAAAATAATCCCAATGCTGAACTTCATATTTCTCCACAAACCGCAGTGTACAATTATCTTTGTCAATAACTGCTTTATTTATTTTTTTCTTGACTTGATGCTTGTCGAAATGTAGCTAGACCGTAGAATGCACGAGGATTAAGGTAATAACTTTCTGTACCCCTATCCAATGGCCTGTGTCTGTGTCAATTATTCATGTATGTGAAAACTTTACAAGTCTCTGCATAATACCTAAGCTGAAGCTGTTACCAATCTTAACATTCATGCATAATTTTATGAGCCATCTGGAATGACTGTTAACTTTTAAACATAGCATATTTCAATGTACGACTGACACTATGTTAACTTAAAAACGAGACGATACAGCGGTGTCTACCTCGGAGACTATATACCAAATACACAGTTATAGCAACTGCGTTCCAGCGATTTCCTACGTCCATCACTCTGCTTTATGATAAATTGTATGTAGGCTCACTGTATGAGGATCAACATAACATGCAAATGGAGAGACAGAAAGCATTGCTCCTACACCCAACTGCGAAACTGCGCCTTGTGCTTTCTATACGTTTCCTTCGTTAGTGCTTGTCAACCGAGACTGACGTTGACATGGCATCGTTTTCCTCACAATTAAATCTGGGTGACCTGTACATTCATAATCACCACCTTGTTGGCATACATCAGTCTGCCCATTGCCCATCCTATGTCAAGTCTCCTTGTTAATCCATTCACGCGTACCTTTAAAAGATCCCATTCTATTCACGACTCTGTTGTAGGAAGAACTTCCTTATACGGAATTCATTTAAGAATTGAATGTCACTTTGAGTGTTTGCTCTGGAAAATGAACGATGTCAAAGCGTTGTTCGCATTTCGCATTTCGATCATTGGGGAAACCGTAGCGGAAATTTAGAAAATTAGGTCGCACTGGCTGGGGCTCGTTAGACCCGTTGTCAGTCAGATTTTTGCAAAACTGTGCTCAGTTGGTGCTTTTTGTTATATACAAAGACAAGTAAGTGATATGTATAAACAGGAGTGTGAATGCAAATGATTTATTTTGTTTACGTCAAGATGGACAGCGAGTTTCCTGGGGAAAACCCAGAAAGTAGTTCCGGCAAATGTTCACATGACCCAGATCGGCTCGAAAACGTTCACACACGTATGAACGATGTTTACACACGTACGAACGATTTGAAGGGTTCAAGGGAAATGAACCTTGAAATTTAGATCACATGACCGCTCTCTCAACCAACCAACGTTCGGAAATCTGTGTAAACTTCACAGTACGAAATTATTATGATACATTGTTCCACCTTCATTAAGGATCCAACGACTAACTGGTTCATAGCTTAAAAACAAGGGACCCTTTCATTACCACCCTGATCCATATCTTACTGAGGTCGATTTACACAAGGCAACCATAATGGCCCATCCCTCTTTGTGACGCCATGCATTTCTATTTCCATAAGACTTGCCTCATGAATATTTACAGGGCGCCATCCCGAAGATGGTCTATTTATTACACGTTGTCTACTAACATCAAGCCTATATCATAGTTATCGCCACAATCGGTAGTCCCAAAGGGCACTGTGTAGTCCTAAAGGGCACTGTCAGCAGAACTCTGATACCATCAGGGACGTGATCACAGGCACAGATATTTCTTTCACACATATAACATTTACTGAAAAAATATATAGTTCATTGAGATTATCAACGAGTGACCAGTGTCTGCCACTCACCAACTTAATATCGTTAGGTACATTGTTGTCACACAAAGTGTTTTACATATGAACCTGACACACTCGATCTCTGGGTCATGTTCTCCAACGGCCTCGTTCTGGATATAGATCGTGGGGCTCTGTACAGGGGAGCTATATCTACTTCATTAATCGAGTTGTTAATATAAGGTTTTCCTGCAACTGGAGTAGCTTTTCACCCGTCACATGTTTGGGTACATTATCAGTATGATCGCAAGACTCTCCCGACTCCACGATGTGCTACCTTAATGTTTGAGAAACTAAAATTATCTCTCACCGACCTGCATCGCCGATTGATCAGTGATTCCCTCAGCTCTATGCTCTCCTCGTTGAGGCCCTTAGCTGTCATACAATTACGTTCCTTAACAACTTGCTTGTCCTCCTCGTCAAAAAAATCATTAATGAAAGTGGCATTCGGTTCCACTGAATTGACCGAGTAACTGAGGATCAAGTTTGACATCGCGGACACCTTATTCTTTCATGTCACGTTTCGAGAAATTTCGACAGATCGATTCGGGATGGAACTGCGCCTTGTAAGTTGTAATTGAGGATTCACCTAATAGGGTATCAGGTGTTGACCAGGTTGGGTGTGTGTCATACTACGTGTATTCACTTTATAGGGTAACTGGAGTTGACCATCTTGGGTGTACGTTGAACGTTCTTTCATGTCAGTTGTAACATTGTAGCAAATTAGACTCGCGCTGTTCTACACTGCTTATGTACAGTTTGTGTTGGTGAAATGAATGAGACGGAATACATTAATGTTGGGCCTTATGTTTTAGCAAACGTTTCTTTTTGGCCTCATATCATGAAGACACATACTGATCAGAAAGAGTTATTGCAAAACTGTCAGTTTAGTTTCGTTATTTAACAGTTTCAAGCATCGATTGCGGTGGCGTATGCTCTGCAACTATTGGATCCAGTTACACCCTCACCTGCAGATGGAGCGGAACATTACAATATGGCATTACGTGGAAGAAGGACGGATCTATGGTAGTCACATGTGGTACTGCTACATGTCTTCCATCAGTAGCTGGCTATGCGAATGGGAGTTACCTCAATTCTCAAATGGCACAACTACACATCGCATCATTCAGCAATGCAGATGTTGGAAACTGGAGTTGCAGTGATGGAAATGACACATCTAAAACCTGTAGAACAACACCAGGTGACTAAAGACGACTTCTTTGAGTGGCATTTTAGAAGTTGGGAAGTACAATATAGAACAAACTTTATGGATAACAACTTCTTTTTATTCGTGAGTGTGACGTTTCGATACAGATTCTTGTACCGTTGTCAAGCATAATGGAACATGAAGAAGGGGGGGGAGTGTATATATACTGGATGTAACAAAGAAAACAACATAATTAACATAATCGGCTAGGCAGAGAGCTGATGAAGCCAGAGAGTAGACAAAGGACAGGCGTCGAAGCCAATGATGTACAAATAATAATGAGATGTTTATATAGCAGGGTTTATCAAGTAGATTGGGCTCTGCCTAGCCAATTATGTTAATTATGTTGTTTTCTTTTTGTTACATCCAGTATATATACACTTCCCCCTTCTTCTCCCTCACCTCCCCACATCAACTTAACCCCATCCCCATAAATTTTGGTATTGATTTCGACTCCCTTGTCCCACCCCAACAAACAACAAATCAACCACCCCCTCCCTCACAACCCCCAAGCAACAAATCCAAATCCACCACACATTTCACCCACTGAAAACCAATCTAGCAAAAAACAATGTGACAAAGCTACCCCACCTCAACCCCAAGAAAATAAACTTATCCACCTCGCCTTTGCTACAAACACCCACACGCCACTCAACCACACTTACTCAATAAACAAATTCGCACTTTGCCTCAAACAACACAACATACAATACAAATACATAAATAATTGCGGACGAGGCTTCAAAATCACATTCACAGACCAACAAGCACTAAACAACACCTTAAAAAACACACTCATCGACGGCAAACAAATAAGTTGGCAATATCCACGCTGGCAGAGATCCATCCAAGGCGTTATATACACAGACACTAGAGAAACTGAATCAGATATCGAACACTACATCAGCATCGCAAACACCATCCCCAACCAACCAAAAATCACAAACTATAGAACTATCAACAACAGACAACCCACAACCCCAACACACAAACAACCTTCCTCACATTTGACACCACTACTCTTCCCACCCACATTACATTTGGCGCCCTTACCTACAAAGTACATCCAACACGCAAAAACCCACAACAATGCAAATACTGTTTTTCATACACACACATCTCAAACTCATGCAAGCTCCCAATGTTATGCCCAAAATGCGGGTCGGACACACACACTCTCGATGAATGTCGCCAACAGAAATTCTGCATTCACTGCAACACATCCGGCCACACCGCTACACAAAATACATGCCCCATCAAGCAAACACATATCCTCAGGCTAAACAAACACATCAAAAACACCGACCTGCCAAAACCAGCACGCACACTACTTTCATATCACTCCATCCTCTCAGCCAGCTCATCCTTCCCCTATACTTCCTCCACCCCCAGCTCATCACTCTACTCACCCCCACCACCACCAAAACCCACAAAACAACGGCCACCCCAACTAACCACCAAACCTACTCTCCCCAACATACCCCCATCATACCCCCCATCCCAAAACGCCACCCCTAAACAACCCTCCTCCCCACACCCACCCCAACTGCCCCACCTAAACAATCCCGGGTCCCAAAACTGCACCCCCCTCCAAACCCTTAAACCCCACCCCACCCTCCAACACCTCCCCAACACAAACCTCCAACCCCCTACCCACAACTAAAACTCAAGCCCTCCCACCTGAAAAACACCCAGCACCTGCCCCCAAACCCTCACACCTCAAAAATTAAACCAAAACCTTAACAAAATAGTAGAACTCATCATCGCAGCCGCAACAATGGAAAAACCAACAGTCAAAAAACTATACACCCTTGCACATAAATCCAAACTTTACCACAAAACCTTGGCCAGTCTACTCATAGCCCTCAAAAAACCCTTCTAAACAACAAACCTCTAACCTACTCTAGCACCAAATTTCCATTTTTCAAAATTCATGCCCCACGCCATGGCATTTATAAAACCCATATTCCTAATTACAGTAATCATGGCACTTATACAGTGGAACTGCAACAGTCTCATGAGATCAAGGCACTCATTGCCCATAACAAAATTTCTCCCGACATCATAGCCCTGCAAGAAACAAAATTATCCCCCAAAACTGCCTATAAATTACCAGGCTACAATTTTATTCGTAAAGACAGATCTCGGCCAACTAACTGTCCCGGCCCCCCTGCAGTGGGGCTGGGGATTTTCATTGCAGAGGAACTAAACTATAACATCTTGCAAATTCCTGTACAAAATCTCGAAGTCCTGGCAATATCAACTAAAATGAATAATAAAGACTTAACCATCATTAATGTCTATAGAAGACCAAATTTCAAAATTACCACCCAAGATTTGGACATTCTGGAAAAATTTATATGTCCCCAAACCATTATCCTCGGTGACTTTAATGCACACCATCCACTGTGGGGCAAAAGACCCTATACTGACTCAAATGGCACCCGCCTTACTGACTGGCTAAGCACACACAACCTTAACTCACTCAACGACAATCAACCCACCCGCTACCCCCTCTCCCATCTACACTCACCCACAGCCATCGACATCACTCTCACCACACTCAAAATTACACAAGCTTGTATATGGGAGGTCCACGACGACACCTGGGGCAGTGACCACTGCCCCATCAAAATCACAATCACATCACACATACCCACACACACCACCACCCCATCACAAACACCCACTGAACTAAGATTCAACATTAAAAAAGCAAATTGGAACAAATTCTCAACACTTTGTAAACAAATAGACACCACAGCCATTTTCAACACAGACATAAACACTTTCAACACAAACCTGACTAATACCATTCTAGACATCTCAGAAAAATGCATTCCAACTTTTCGATATAACCCTGCACAAAAAACAGTCCCCTGGTGGAGCTCAGAAATCATCAAAGCCAGAAAGGCAAGGAAAAAGGCCCTTAATCAATCAAAGAGGGACCCTTCGAAATTACACTTGGCAAAACAACTAAGAAATAAAACTAAGAAATTAATCGAGGTAGCAAAAAATGACCACTGGAAACAATTCTGCTCCACCCTTAAGCTAACTAATCGAAACTCTAGAACTATGTGGAAAAAATTTAATGCCATTAAGGGCATCTCCAAACAAACTATTTATCCAAACCTTCCGGACCTAGCCACAAACAAAGACAGAGCCAATGCTTTTGCTGCCCACCTCTCGGCCGTCAGTAGCTCCACCAACTACCCACCTTCTTTTCAAAACACTATGAAAAAGCAGCCCCCATTCACCCCACAACCACCACACACTGATCTACCTATAAATAAAATAATAAATATACACGAACTCCAATCTGCACTCAGAAACAAACAGTCAGCCTCAGCCCTGGGTCCAGATACCATTACTTACACCATACTCAACAAATTAACACCTAACATGCAAAACTTAACACTTTCCCTCTTCAATCATATCTGGACCTCAGGTACTATCCCAAACTCATGGAAAACAGCCAAGGTGGTGCCAGTTCTCAAACCAGGAAAACCTAGAAATGAGCCTGATTCCTATCACCCTATCTCCCTCACCTCTCATCTATGTAAAACTTTAGAAAGCATTATCAACAACAGGTTCAAACACCTTATATACACAAAAAATTTAATTAAGGAGGACCAGAGCGGCTTTACTCCAAACAGGCAAATTTTAGACCATATTTTACATTTGGAACAAGACATCAAGGTAGCCCATGCACAAAAACAATACACTATGGCCATTTTCATCGACTTTAGTAAAGCATTTGATATGGTTTGGCAAAACGGCCTTATTCAAAAACTCCAAAAATATGCCATCAACGGCAGAATTCTAAATTTCATCCACTCTTTCCTTAATAATAGACAGATAATCCTCAAATCTCACAACACCCTCTCGGACCCCCATCCCCTAGAGCATGGGACCCCCCAGGGCAGCATATTATCACCAACACTTTTTAACTTCATGATCAACGACATATTCCCAGATAAATGGCTTGAAATTTCAAAAGCCAAATTTGCCGACGATATTTCCTTCTGGACTTTGTCCACTTCTGTCAAACAAGCCTCTACAAAATGCCAAAAAATGCTTAACCATATTCAAAATTGGGCCCAACAGTGGGGGTTCCTCATTAATGTTAAAAAAACGTGGGCATACTCTTCAAAACACAAAGAATGCAAAATTTCACATCCAAACTACACCTAAATAACCAAAAAATTGAATTAAAAAAGGAAGCAAAATTCCTAGGAGTAACCTTGACCAACATATGTCATGGACTCCCCACATTCATAACCTGGTCAATTCCTGTCAAAAAGATCTCAACTTAATGAGGGCCATCAGCGGCACAAACTGGGGCGCCAACAAACACACACTTATTAACATATACAAAACGCTCATACTGCCTAAACTGGACTACGCCGCCCCGATCCTCCACTCCCTCTCCTTCTGTAACCTCCAAGAATAAACTCCATCCAATATAAAGCCCTAAAATTAGCCCTATGCACGAAGACTGGTACCTCCCTAAACACATTACTTCTACTCTCAGGCACCACTTCATTCACTCAAAGAATCAACCAAACAACACTCACTTACTGGGCTGGGGCCCAACATAACCCACTATTTAAACTCGTCACACATAAATACAGCAACATTAAAAAATCAACACTCAAAATTCAAATTAAATCCCCTAAAAGCTCCATGCCCCACCAAACTCCATAAACTACTACAGGCACAACAGCTAAACGACATACAACACACACCTCCCATTACAAGCTTCATTCACGACATACCCACACCCACCACAGACACCACCCTAGACAACATTCTCCAGCAGTTACCAAAAAACACCAACAAACCCACCATAACTAACATCACCAACAACTACATCAACAATAACTACCTAACACACCCATATATATACAGACGCCTCAATCAACCCAAACAAAACAACTGGTATAGGTATACACGTCCAACAACACCCCCACCCATTACAACCAACCTCCACTATACAAACCACACCTCAATACAAACAGCAGAACTAACAGCTATCCTCACTGCACTCCACCTAATACCTACCCTCCCACAAACTAACTTCATAATTCTCTCTGACTCACTAAACTCCATTAGGCAAATACATAACAAGTACTCCAAATCTCGCCCTGATCTCATTCATAATATCACAATGCAAACCGACTCACTTAAACGAGCAAATAAAAACATAACTTTCACCTGGATACCAGGCCATTCAAACATATTGGGAAACGACACAGCAGATACAGCAGCCAAATTAGCAACAACACACAAATCACCAAATATAAACTTTCATACATCCAAAACAGAAACTAAACAACTCATTAAATCAAATATTCTATATACTGACTTCCAACACAACATAAACAACAACAAATCAACATGGGTTACTTCCATTATAAAATCACCCTTAAGGAAAATCCCTACATTCTCAAACATTAAAAATATTGACATGGCCATAAACAGACTCATCACAGGCATCACAAACCTTAACCACACACTTTACAAACAAAATAGACATGCAGATGGACTATGCACGCAGTCATGGCGTCTTTCGTGGGTGCAGTATAGTGTTCTATTCCCATAGGGTGTTTCAGTTGTGTTAACATTATTTCTACAAAACTCAAACCTTCTAAAAAGAATCTAGAACTCATTAAATAAGCTACAGCCACCTCTCTCACCTCCCATTCACTGCAACATTCAGGCCAGCCGTCCAAACCTCAGTTATCCACTCTGCCCCCCCTACAACTTTAGACACGGCTCTCAATTTCATTTATCCATTCCCTGCACACGCCACGCTCGCTCTCCCCTCTCGCTAATGTAAACAACCCGTCACAAGCCCATACTGCCAAGGTCAAGGTCACTCGCCAGCCAGTTTACTACCACCGCTTGTCCCTCAACCCGGCCTCTGCCTCATTGTGCCTCCCTCGCTCCCCCTCAGCCCCCCCCCCTCCCCAGCCCAACTTAACACCTTTTTTTTTACTCATTCTTTATATATCCCCTTAGATAACTTATCTTCCCCTATGCTATACTTGTCCGGTACTCACCCCTTCCCCCATCCCTAGGCCCCCTTTTATGTCATCTATCGTTTATTTCAACTCTATCTCTTACTTATTAACAATCACCATTCCTATTTATCCATCCTTTCTCCTTTTTTTAACTTGGCCTTTTATTATTTTTTTTATCTCTATTTATGTTTATAAACGTTTTTTTTTCCAAATTCCACTTAGGTTTAACGCCCCAGCATTTATATTTTTTAAGGTAAGGTGGTTTATCCCTTATTAACATTTATTACTTATTACATTAGCTCCCACCTACCCCGTCGGCGAAATTGGCTTACCGCCAGAAGCCGACGTAAAACTTTTAATTTCGTCGTCGTCTCCATTATGCTTGACAACGGTACAAGAATCTGTATCGAAACGTCGCACTCACGAATAAAAAGAAGTTGTTATCCATAAAGTTTGTTCTATATTAGACTAATGACGAATCAAACGAACTTTACGGGAAATGGTACATATTAGAATACTTCCTGTAAATAGATATGTAAATGAACAGTTTTTCATGTCAGTGAATATAAAAGAGGCATCCAGATACAGTTGAGCAAAGAATCTAACCATGAGGCTATGGCCACCCATTACTTATCAAGAAAAACAACTATTTTATGTCTCCTGTTACAGCTCGAAGAAATATCGCCTTGGAAGCATCATGTAAAAGGGTTGGAAGGAGTCGGCTGGTGACGTGTACTTTAAATGACCATGGATCACCGCCCATAACACTTGAAATGAGGGTATGAGTATGAATGAACTCTTGTAGGAGACATGGATTTACACTAACTATATCCTCATAGCCATTAATATTTACATAAGTCAGTTCCCACTCTTCATTCTAAATATTTTCTAAGAGTACATATGTTGGTTTTTAGTTCCAGAGAGTGTATGTATAGATTGCTGAAACATATATCCCTCATGGACAATTCTCAGAATTGCCTTTTCCCTACACACTTTAAATAGAAGACTTGCTATACACTTTTTATGTTCATTCGGTGGAACTTTCCAAAAGAGTGATTTGTAAAGTTTGTTAGAAGCGGCATGTGTTACTGTTGAAATGCCATTAATTGACATTGGACATCCTGCCTGGATGTAATCTTAGATAGGCATATTTTCCTTTGTTAAGTCTTCTTTTTAACTGGAACTCCTGGTAAATTATTTTTAAATTAACTTCAGTTTATGCAAGTGGTGTCCTTTTCTGTTGTTTCTAGAGATTATGGTGACTTCATTATATGCAAGTTGTGTCCTTGGTGTGCCTTGCTCTACCTTGTCTTCACTTAAGACAAAAATGCAGCAACTACACGTTAAAATATGTATTATTACAGTCAAAAGACGACGTAGTAGATTCAACCACCTCAGAAGGCCAATTGAAACGGACGTACCTAGGAAGCCGTGTATCGTCATATACCTGTGCGGTAGCCGGAGAGAGATCTGAATGTGTAACACCGAAATCAAAATCGACAACGTGTGGTGGTAACATTACCTTTCTGTGTAACACTAACATGCACAAAAGAAGGTTTAATCACGTCTGCTGTAAGAGACACAACAATAGTAGGAGACATAATACAAGTCAAATCCACACGCCACTGATGAATTATCTGGTCAGAGACACTAAATTAATCTCTGATGCTATATATGTAGCCCCAGCTGCAAGTGTCACTTGCCAGCGTTGGTAAGGTCTCATAACTAATATACCTTTTAATATTAACAGAAATATTCAAAACCGTTTTCTCTGAATATTTTGGAAAATGCATGTTGTCTGCTGTTTATATCTCTGTTTACGAGGTACGTTAATTTACATAGTGTTGTTAAAGTTTACTCCATGTTTGATAAATGAACTGTATCACGTGTTATATTTCATGTCAATGAAGACTTTGAAGTACTGATTGCTGGTAGCGTCATAATCGTTATTCTCATTCCTTGTGTGGTCGGATGTCTCCTCTACATCAAGTGTGGTAGGTAATCATGCAATATGTGCAAAGGTCTGCAATTATTTCATAACGCTGTTGAAAAGGAAATAATTCCGAAAAGAAATACAAACCGATATACAATAATGATGCCGTTGTGCATTTATCTTTAATACGAACAAATGCGAAATTGGTAGCTCACAAAGAAGTACCTATAATGCTGTACCCTGTACAATTGGATTTTCAGCAAACAAGAGAAGATTATGTTTGTCCTTTTACATAATCAATGGCACCCTCCTAGCCGCTGGCGTTGTGCTCCTCGTCATGATCTTCATACGAAATACTGGTATGCGTGTTTTTTAAAAGCTTTCTCACAATAAACAGTATAATCTCTTTCCCAGCACGACTTGGTTACATGCGTCCTCACTATCTCAATGGAAAACTCATTTCTCTTACTTATATTTTGATTATCATTATAAGTCGTAGATTTTTTACAAGTCATGCAAATATATTATTTTAAAATTAAATACTAGTAATAAAATAATAGAGCTCCATATGTGAGGTTATAATGTAGGGCAAAACAATATAGGAAGAAAACCTGAATGAACACAACCAACTCAGATAAAACCCGTTGGTGAGTATACAAACGGTTAGCATTTCAGTAATAGATTTGATATATCACTGGGGTAAGTGCTTCTTCTATTCCTTTCCAATAGACTTTCATATTCCTCATGTTTCATCCCATGTTTGTCATAGACATTTCAGATTACAATGATCCCCTGTTCCTATCTGCTGCCTTCATCGTCTTCGCCGGGTTGATTGTTGGGATTGTGGCGAGCATTATTCTACACAAGTGTCACGTAAACAGTTCACATTGACGTATTCACAACGTTATAGTTGTGGCAGAATTGTCATTAAATATCTCAGATACATGACTGATTAAAACAACAATGGGATATGTTTGTGATGAAAATCCGAATATAATTTGACATTTAAATGTCTATGTTTATTTTGCCAGCGTAATAGATATATCATCTTGTTAAATCTTGAGCATATTTGTGACGTTACCTAGTTATCTATTTTAGCTACTGGTGAATTTCAAAACTCACCGAAAATAAAAAATGAGCCACTTTGTTCCTTATTCATCCATTAGAGAGTCGTGACATCGCTAAGTATTCAATGACAACACAAAGTCTAGGAGTCGGCTGTAGTCATCATCTCAAGATGTAAATGCACATTGTGCATACAATATGTACAAATACAACTTTTCGACATGAAAAAATAGGGATATTTTTTGTTATTGTACTTTAGCATTCAATCCAACTTGATTATTTTGTACATATTTCTTGTAACGTCCTCAACAGTTCGGATACTGGATTTTGGTCATTTCATATGCAGCAATATAAAAGTAATACAAGTTGGTATTTGACACTCTTTCATCTGACATGTCTGTGATACGGATACAACATTTACAGACTCAAGCATTATGCAGTTTTTCAGTCTTTGGTATTAAGAATGTGAGATTCATAACTTGCAAACGTGCATATAGATATACTCTGCAATAAAGAAACGCAAACGTTGTCAGATTATGTACTATATAAATAATCAGAAGATCATAATAAATTGATCAAATTTGGCACAAGTCATTGTCACAGACTGAGGTGCATCATGGCGTACATGATACAATCGAATCTCAAGGTGAAGGTCAAATGTTCTTAATATCTTGTATGGCCCCCTCATAGAATAAATCTGATCACGAATTGTGGCTTGGGAATGTTCACACACACTCTTCCTGTGGTGCTTGTGCCAGCTGTTGGAAATTTTGTGGCTGTTGCTGACGTGATCGCAGACGATGTTCCAGAGCATTCCATAAATGTTCGGTGGGTTGGGGAGGGGTTGGGGATGGGTCAAGGGCGGAGAGCTTTGACGTTGCTTGTTGCATAATAGGAAGTACGTATGGCCAAAGAATTTAGTTTGTGTAACATTTTGACGTTAATTTGCCCTGCACAAGTACCAAGTCTGTTCTGTCGGTATGGGAGACGGCAGCACACATAATTACGTTGAGCTTCTGGCAGTCAGTCTTGGAATGTTTCACAGTTTACTAGTTGTGCAATTGTGATCACAGACAAATGAAACCCAATCTTTTTCATAGCCTAACAACTCATGTTGCATGTTCATTTCATGTTGGTGTGTTTGGTCGCCACGCATGCGTTTCTCCCATTTTTTTGTTTGTATTTTTGGCCGTACTTCATTCCATCCAATTACTCTTGATGCATGCATATTTGGTATTCCTTTCGTATGAATACCAGCAAACATTCCGTCATATGTTTCCAATTTTTCTACTTATGGGTAGCTTTACTGCAGAGTATATATAGGAACACTGAATGATCGGGGGTCACTTAGAAGTGCTTTTATAGGGTTATTTTTGTTAATTCATCAGGAGCAGAAAGATAATTAGATACCTATAATAAATATTTCAGTAAACGTATCTATAAATGAATACATCCGCTCAGTTTGCAAAATGCATACAGTTTACTGTACAAAATTATAATGTTGCTGTATTAGTAAAGTCTCTTAAAGCGTCTGATTTACTGGTTCTGTTCACCATTTTTCGCATTCCTATTATTACATATTCTCGGAGCGAAAATGTTTGATTGGTACCACGGCGAAATTTGCGATTCTGATAAGCCAGTGTGATGTTGAAAACCACCTCTGATTCATATTAATGATTTGCTACCCCTTACAATGTTTGTGATAGCGATAGTTGTGATAGTTATACAAGGTTGAAACATCAAATGTTTTGAGAGAGTGAGTGAGTGAGTCAGTGTTGTTTTACGCCGCTTTTAGCCATATTCCAGCAATATCACCGCGCGGGACACCAGAAATGGGCTTCACACGTTGTACCCATCTGGGAAATCGAACCCGGGCCGTCGGCGTGACGAGCGAACGTTTTGACCACTTGGCTACCCCGCCGCCTCGTTTGATAAAGGGGATTAGATAAGAGCTATATGAATGTTAAAAGCAACACAAACTTCGCTTAAGAAGTTTCTGTGGAGAGTGAGACTCGATACTGAAGTGGTTAAACATGATTTGCTCATTGACGAGCCGTCAAATCCTGGTGTTTTGTATGTATAGATGGCGGAAATACTGACAGAGTACTAGTTGCATATCAATACCCATCCTCTCATGACAGGGACATTGAGACGAGCAGTCGTTTATCAACATAGCTTTGTGATTGAATAATGTAAAGTTGTGAGTGTTACAAAATTCTAAACATTATTATAAGCCGTGTACAATACCAACAGAAATATAATGCTCGCCTCAAACTCCTACTGCATAACTACCATGAGTTGTGCAACTGTAAACGACCATATATTAACCCATAAATTCATGCATGTATGCAGGCGAAGGCAAAGCATTGACGGTTTTTCACCGAGTGTGACCTCAGTGACGCTGCCTTGCAAACTGTTCTCAATCACTGGATGAGTCACAGGGTCTCACTAAGACACCCTGTTTAGTCATGTGAGAAGCATGGTACGCTGGAGAACTTTCTCTACTCGGAATCCATACGAGTTTTTGAATGATCAAAGTTATCATTTATATATCTACAGAACAGAACTAAATTTGAAAAGATCCCAGATCCCAGAGCTAAATCTGTGTTGCTAAAAGAACATGTACAAGTGCTGTTCCTGGGAAGAACACGATTCTGTGTAAATTACTGTAGAAGCCATGTTAAGTATTACGAGGATTTATTAGATTACATTAAAGAAGATAGTCAAAACAGTAGGGGAAGGTTTATCCCAAATGATAATGCATGTAGAACCATATGTTGTCAAGTTTGTCAATCAAGTCTTCCATCAATGAATCTATCTGAAATTAATCTAATCTGAAATATCTAAAAGGTATGTTTTGACGGTATTTGCTCCACAATTAGGAAATTACATGCTTGCCCCATAGCAATAACTTTCAAGCAGTGGACAAAGGGTCGACAATTTGAAATATATCTGCGCGGTTACCTCCCTTGACAGTTCCACGTTGTACCTCTCGTTAAAATATATGGATACTTCTGTGTTTCTCTTGAATCCGAAAAGCATGTAGTATATGTTATCGACAATATGGGTCCTGAATAGTCACATATAGAAACAAACACTTATTCACTACACCGTCTTACTAACTAGTACCTTTGAAGATCCGGGTTAGAATTGGTCCTCAGCAACATGCTTGTCGTACAAAAGCGACTAACGGGTTCGGGTGGTCAGGATGTCTGACTTGGGTGACAAATGTCATCGTATCCCCATTTGCGTAGAACGATGCTCATGCTGTTGATCATGCGTCGTTAACCAACCAACCAACTACTAACTAGTTTGACTTGACGTTAATCATTAAATCGAAAGGAAACAAACAGCTCAGTGTTGTTGTAGATTGTGTAGATTTGTGAACATTTGCTAACAGCTGGGTCGAATCCCAATCTGGTTCAAGTATTGATGTTGGTCTTTGATATTCCAGAAGCATGAACGCGTTTGAAAGTTTCATGAAAGTGGCGAACCACAGACATAGTTATGGTACCTCTAAACAGCCATGCATTCCCGCATACTCCGCATCTAACCATCGAGAGGCACCGCCGTGTTGCAAGAGTAACAGGTGATCGTTACATTATCTGCAACATCAAAATATCACCAAATTAACAAATCATGATATAAAATGGGAAACATTTAAACACGAAGAAAAAATCAAAATCAAAGATCAAACTTTTTTTATATTATACTTGCTGTAGAACTATTTCACCAAGCCTGAAAACCAACCCATTAAATCGTCTCTTAACACCACCACAGGTCCCCTACGTAACACCTATCTGTTTTCAGATGCTACGTACGCTTATTAATGAAACATTGGCACTGTTTGTACCTACAAAATATTTTCCATCTGCTGACAAATACACGCGTACCGATGTATCTCAAGCGAATTTTGATGGATCAAGTGGGTCAAGGAGCCAGGTTACATGCATACCTATATAAAAGTAGCTTATATTACATCATGTTGGCAACAACACTCACAATGGAGACCAAAAGCCCGAGCTTTTATACTACATTTACACGGCTAAATCTCGTAGACGTATTTTAAACACAGCATTGCCCGGTTACACGCTAATGTAAAACATATCTTTCTGGGTTTACATTCTATGTCATAAATGATCTTACCTGTACTTCTTTTTTGTTTTCTTTTTCTCTTGACCAATATGCCCCGCGTTGTGCCTTCCCTCAACAGCTTTCAGTGCAGTGGTTTTATCTTCAGTATCTTGGCGTGCCCATCTAACCCAGATTGCTGCACAATAAAAGAATATTATTGCTTATTGAGGAGGGTATGACACAATGACCAAGCTTCATAAAAATCATCCATTTTTTTGCCTAAAATAGTCGAGTTTCTGTTTCAAGAACTGTAAAAGTATACGTTTGGTAGATATATATGAACAGTATAGATTTAAAATGCAATAGGATTGCGTTAAATGGCTATGGGGATATTTTTCAAACGTTGAAAGCAGTAGTTGAGACAGTCACTGAAGCAGTGTTGGCGAAAAGGTCGCACCCGTTCGCAGAGGCACCCGTTACAAACATATGGTAAGTCAAGTCAACTGTTTACCTGAAATAATTCGGGAATGGTACAAGTCAAAATAAGGTATCATTTTTGTCACTGTCAAATATAGAAATCCACGCGTCTACCATAAAACTTCTTGAAAGCTTTACTGAGGCCTTGTTTGTTGTAACCTTGATCAAGCAATTTCTGAGGAAGAGTCATATGAAGCTTTTGGAAATCCAAAAGCGTACACTCGATTGTACCGCAAACGTCGTAAGGGAGACCACCCTTGAAACCTTGTTGTAGTTCAAAATTATTCACTGGCTACATTTAAGTTAAGTCTAAACTTCTATGTATCGGTAACGACTTAGATCAGAAAACATAAAAGCATGAGCATATCGTATCTAATCAGATTTTTCTGACAGACCTATACAGACATCAGAGTACGCTGACATCAGAGTACAACCTTTACTTGACGGAACATGACAACCTTTACTTGACGGACGTTCAAACCTAGGTTTGAGTGACTTCAGTTTTACGCCGCTTGTAGCAAATATTCCAGCAATATCACGGCGAGGGACACAAGAAACGGGCTTCACATATTGTACCCACGTGGGGAATCGAACCCGGGTATTCGGCATGAAGAGCGGACGCTTTAACTCCTAATCTACCCCACCGCCCCACTTAGGTCTGAGGCGTAAAAATAATGTAACAGAGAATATGAAGCTCACATGCATGTTTCATAGGAAATTGTTTTGAAAACAAAATCATATAATATTAATGTAATAAACGATGTGTTCATGTAAAAATAGAACGTCAGTGCAAATGAATACCCAGTCTTGACTATCCTCAGAAACAAATTCTGTTTGGTGTAAAGGGAAAAATAGCTGTAAAATTATACGCAACGTTATGGGAATGGTTCCTGACAAGAATGTACCTTCTACATCTTCAGCTTGGTTCCAAATCCTGCATTGTGACGAATTGTTTGGCTTGCGCGCCTATGGTGTAAAATCGAACCATTGATGCATAGTTCTTTACTTATATGTATCGAAATCTCTGTACCCATACACAGCAGTAGTAATTCTGAATTATCTAATGGATTTGTCGGTTCTTTGATCACTTTAATGTCTGGTTTGTATAAATGAAGGCGCCACATGGCAGGAGTACTGCTGTGCAGCGTCAGGGGAAAATACATCCATTTTTAGGCAAGGTTTGCGACTGTTGGGACAGTAAATCTGTATCCTTTACTGGTGTAATCACTGATTATTAATGATCCAATCATACAATTTTTTTCATAACTAATAGAAGCATGGGTGCGCCTTTGCACTGACGTTATACAATTGAAAGTTAACGCATCCACTCAAACCACCACTGCCTGGGGTCCTCGCAGCCCGTGTAACGTCCATATCTGAATGTGGTTTGTAGTCAGTACAACACGGTACGTAAGTGTTGATACATATTTAGTTAATTATTAGCTCATTTTTACCTCCAACAACCAAATGTTCACAGGTAATTGTTTCACTGCACTATACACATCAAATTGCAAAGATTTGCATTTGGAATATTTTTGCAGAAATACGTTTATTGTACCTAATTTATATAGTAAAGCCGTGAAGATCCGGGTTAGAATTATTTTTCAGCAACCCATGCTTGTCGTACGAAGCGACTAACAGGATCGGGACATCATTGGATGGTCAGGCTTGTACATCCCCGATATGTAAAATCAAGATAATATGTAAAAACTAACGCAATATGTTAAAACTTAACGCAAAACGCAAAATATAATGCAATATGTAAAATATTAACGCCAAATGTAAAAAATGGTTTTAATGCAATATGTAAACACCTAACGCAAAATGTAAAAACAATTTTTAACGCAATTTGTAAAAGATTTACAGAATCTGTAAAATACAGCTTTATTGTTGTTTATTGTTTTGGCGACTGAAATTCATTTTTTTAGAAACTTATTGTATTTATTGTGTTTCAAAATAACTAACCTATTGCAGTATTTCT